GAAAGAAAGAAAGAAAGAAAGAAAGAAAGAAAGAAAGAAAGAAAGAAAGAGGAGAGGAGAGGAGAGGAGAGGAGAGGAGAGGAGAGGAGAGGCGAGGCGAGGCGAGGCGAGGCGAGGCGAGGCAAGGCGAGGCAAGGGAAAGAAAGAAAAGGAAAGGAAAGGAAATGGAAAGAAAGAAAAGGAAAGGAAAGGGAAAGTAAAGGAAAGAAAGAAGAGAAAGGCAAGGCAAGGCAAGGCAAAAAGAGAAAGAAGAGAAGAGAAGAGAAGAGAAGAGAAGAGAAGAGAAGAGAAGAGAAGAGAAGAGAAGAGAAGAGGAGAAGAAAAAAGAAAAATGTCAGCCACACACAGACACATTTATACTGGGTAAAGTAGATAGGTCTACAGTACCACTTTATTGTTGTTCTTAGTTTGTATATCTTCTCAGGATAATTGGTCACATGCTGTTCTAAGCATTTTTCCATTCCATAAGTACATACTAAATTTAAAGCAACATTTACTGTCATAGGTTGATAAGTCTTAAAGAGTTGATGAAGAATTGTTGACATGTCTTTCCATTAAGACTAGTACCTAACTAAATATTCACAATCTATTTTCTAGTTCCAGAAGTTCATTATAACTTTAAATCAATAATCCTTATGTCATATATTGGCACAGTTTTGTCAAGAGACAAATCATTTGCCTTCTGCTTTATTATTTTGAAGTCATGTATACAGATAGTAGTCCATTATTTATTTTCTGTTCTTGCACCTACAATAAATTGCCCATTTCCAGTTTATTGTCTTTAGTTACCAGATAGTGGCCTCATTCCTACCCTAGAAGGAATGTTTTCTAGATTGTAAATTTGTTCCAAACTGGTTTTCTTTTCCTACTGCAGTTAGCCCATGCCACATGAAGATTTACAAAGCTTTTATTTTGTAGGGGACTTGAGTTTACATGTATCAATTTAGGAATTCTACAAAATCACTATCAGGAGTTGTGAAAGCATCATTTCATCAACAGAGCACTATCACATGAAAGTACATCTACATATTGTTTCTGTAGGAAATTTGGCCAACAGTGTAGGTAAGTACCCAGGAAATCATTAAGTTATGTAATAATTTCGGGAAATTCATTTCAGCATCGAGAAGTAATCCTGGAATGCAGTCTTTGAGAACTCTTCATCTCAAAGTGCACTCATTACAGACATGCAAAATGGTTGGACAACTCCAGAAAACTCACTTGCTCACCATAACCTTTCTAGATGGCTTCTGACATGTTTCCCAGTATATCTGGACTAGGCAAGATATAATAGTTACTATCCTGTTGCCTATGATAAAATAATAAAGCAACGTGAGGGGATCAGAGTTTACTTTAGTTCACAGTTCAAGGGTACATTCCATCATGGCTGGATATGAAGTGCAGGAGAAGCATAATGTAGCAGCTCACAATCTATCTAGTCAGGAAGCAAAGAAAGGACGAAACTGGTGTTCAGTTTGTTTTCTTCCTTTCTTTAGGCTGGAACTCCAGCCCAAGGAATTTTGCCCACATTTAAGGTGAGTCTTTCCTACAGGCCACTTCAAAATTGATGAAGAGAGGCAGAGCAGAGGATTACTAGCCTCATCAATGATTACCTTTCTCAACAGCTGCATTTTATGCATCATTAGCAACAGACTGACTCAGAATCTCCATCCTTACCTGTAAGTTGATGAGCATCTTTCACTTTGTCCATATCATTTGCTCATCAAAATCTTAGTAGTACTACATTTACTGAGCAATTCAAATCCTCTCGCACCCTAATCAAAATTCTCCAGAAGTATCTGGAGATGTTGGATTATTTAATCATGCTCAATGCCTCATGGAGAGTGTTGTAGAGGAACATTTTCCCCGCAAGTTGGGAGGAGCTAAGGTGGGAGGAGTAAGTAGAGGAAGGGGAGGAGTAAGGGAAGGAAGAGGAGAAGGAAGAGGAGGAGCTGGAGGAAGAGATGTAGGAGGATGGAGAACCACACTTGGATCGAGAGCAGTCCTGGATAACTACTTATATCTAGGTTAGTTGATTAGGAAACAACTCCAATTGTCTGGGCATCTTGTTATTGAGCATTACCAAATATATAAAGCTATTTGATTAATCTTTAAGCATTAGAGTCTCATTCATACTGGGTACCATGTGCATGGCAGGATAGTCTGGGCTCAGCCCAGCCTTGTGAAGACAGCATGGAAGATTAGCAGATCTATCTCCTACACTGATGTCTCATGGGTGGCAGGGCTGGTGTCTTTGCCCACCTGAGCCTGCGGACTGAGTCAGCGGCCTGAGCTGTGGTAGCAGCAAGAACATGCTGCTGCTTGTGACCTCAGGCCTAGCCTAGTCAGGAAAATGGCAGCTCTATAACTATAAGACAGAAATGGTGCTGCCATTTTAAATAATTCCCACAACAGAGTGTATTTTATCAAACATTGAATAAGTAGTAGTTATTATTGTGATCTAAAATAAAATTACTTTTTTCCTATTGTGAACAACTGATAACAACTCTTACTCATAGTGTGGTGATCATAAAACTGTTTGTCTCAGTTACTTTTCTATTACTGTGACAAAAAAAAAATCATGATCAAGGTAACTCACAAAACAGTATTTAATTGGGGTCTTGCTTACTGTTTCAGAAGATGATTCAATGACCAACATGTCTGGGAACATTGCAGAAGACAGGCAGACATGATACTGGAGCGATAACTGAGAGCTTAGATCTGAACCTCAACGCAGTAAACAAAGAGACAGAGAGCTATCGTGAAATAGTGTGGCGTTTGAAACTTCCTCCAATGAGGCCAGATCCCCCTAATCTTTTCCCAACAGTTCTAACAATGGGAGACCAAACATTCCAAATATATAAGCCTATGGGTAGCATTCTCATAAAACCCAATGTAGTGTGACACTATTTAATTTTCTCTTAATTTTTAAACTTTTGTTTCATTATTTTTATATAGTCTCCTGTATCTCAGACTTGATTCAAACTCATTGTGTAGCCTAAGATGACATTGAAATTTTGACTCTTCTGCTTTTCCCTCTCAAGGGCTGAGATTACCACTGTGCCACAACATAACTAAAGTAGACAGTGCTATAGATAGAAGCCATGACTTAAATGCTGCTAGACAAATACTCTAGCAACAGAGTTGCATTTTCATCCTCTGCTTATTACTTATTTTTTCTTAGTACAGCTTCTTGACTTTGTGATTTTCATATCACAGTTATAGAAGATAAGTGGATAAGCTTCTTACATGCTGATAGCAAAACTTTGACTGGAGCATAAACATATGAGAAAAGGTGGAAAAATAACTTGGTATTGGTTTCTGGGGACATGAGGCCAAGACTCAAATAACTTCATACCATGAGACATGAATAAAGAAACAGAACAATCTATATAGTGCCTTTTTGAAATTTTGCCAGTAATTGATGCTCGAGAGAGGTTTCAGCACATTTTTTTCTAGTTAAGAATGTATATATTTTATGAATTTCATGTTTTAATTAATGATTTTATGTTCTATATATTACCTTAGCTTATAAATTGAAATGGGGTTTTGGAAGTCCTTTGGCTATAAAATGTCTTCCATAAATGTAAGATTCTTATTAGTCTGGGTAATTCATATTTAATTTTAAAATGAATAATTAAGTATGTCCTAATTATACATTTCATGGAACTCACACTTCATATCCAGGCCATAGCACCTCAATGATATATTTTTTTTTTAAATGTCAAGATATATGCCATCTTTTCAGTTAGCACTTTTCTCCATAAGCACTGCTAAAAGCAACTCCTGTATGCAGGTAAGAGTTGCTTTGAGCAAAAGAAGACGTTATTGGGAAATGTCATGAAGTAATGGAATAGCTTCCTCTTTTGCTCAAAGCATCACTTCACAACCTTGAGGCACAATATGTGTTCATGTTAGGATTTCTTCTAGAGACTGGTGTTAATCCATTAGGAAGAGTTTTGCAGCAGAGTAAAACTTGACTCCTTTGGTTGTATATATTCTTTGTTGAAAATAAATGCCATTGGTTGATAAAGATGCCTTTAATATAACTCTATTTTCAGCCTCTTATCACCCAAAAGTACCAACAAGGAAGACTTTGTAGGAGAAGTTCAGCTGCTTTCAGTGACAGATGAAAGTACTAAAAATGGTGTAGGGGTATCATACCTATATATGAATAGAGTTCTTGATCATGAATCCAAAAGAAGCAATGACACTGTTAAAAGGACCTGGTTAGGTAATATGATTCTGGGTCTTCCTTAACAACCACAAAATCATGGTATTTTAGAATGGGACATGGAAGCTAGAAGAAATATCTCTATGGAGACTATACTGAAGCAGGCATTTATAGCCTTGTTTTTCTTGGCTCCAGGCAAGTCTCTTGCTTACCCAGTATGAGAAATCATTTCAGCTGGGGATACTTCAAAGATTCTGAGCATTATTGAAAAGATATGTGTCAATTTTGTTCTAATAAAACATCTCAGGCAAATGTATGGAAATAAAAATGAAAATGGTTTGTTTCTTCTCCATGTAGAAGCTTATGACTATTTCATATCTCCTCTGGCACAAGGCATGGTGTGTGACCAGTATTGATTCCTGTCTCCCACTCTTCAGTTTTACTAGAAACAGGGGGAATCTGCTGCCTCTACATGCAGATGGTTACTTGAAGTTGAAATTTTAATGAAAACTTTTGTGAGACATGCCCTACTGAATGAGAAAGGAAAGATGACTTTTTCTCAGGTAAATGTGGGCATGGGTATGGGGCAAGTTGATTGTTCTTATGCAAATATTTCATTTTCAGAACTTTTAAACCTTCCCTATGGTGACTCAAGTTACAGAACTGTTTTTCATATGATTCTGACTATTATATCTTTAAAATTTATGTCACTGGTGAACTAAAAAAGATTTAACACTATTACACGCTCCTTCATTTTTTTCAATATAACTTATATAAATAACATAATTTGAAAATACTTAAAATTTCTGATCACAAAACTGAGTGTACATGAGACTAAATATGAATGTATGTACTTGATCTCTACTGTGAGTCACATAGGTCATTATTAGTCTGTGAAGAAAGGTCCATGTTTGATGAATCTTTCATATGAGGGCATATTGCAGTAGTTCTCAGCCTTCTTAATACTGCAAACATTTAATAGGTTTCTTCATATTGTGCTGACTCAATTATGATTTTATTTTTATCGATATTCCAGAAGTGTAATGTTGGTATTGCTATGAAACTTGTGGTAAGTATCTCGGTTTTCTGATGGCTTTAGTGACCACCGTTATATCATTTAGGGGATCATACCATGTGATCTTCATAAAGGTCACCACCATCAGCAAGAATTTTTCCTGACAATTGTAACTTTTCAGAGAATGACATTTTTCATCTCAGACATAATTTATAAATTACATATGTTAGTTATTGTTAGAAAAAATGTAAATTTAACTAACATTTCTTTGGCCAATTGACACAAGGGGATACTGTTAATTTTAATTTCAGGGTCTATTGACTTTCATGGATGTGGCTATAGAGTTCTCTCAGGAGGAATGGAAATGTCTGGATTCTGCTCAGAGGACTTTGTACAAAGATGTCATGTTGGAGAATTACAATAACCTGGTATCCGTGGGTAAGAATATTTTTATTCCATAATTTCTACTTCACCTTAGGGATATCTAAAATTCCTATTGCTATTTGGGTCTGACATCCTTTAACTGGCCTTTCTCTTCTGTTTTCATGGGTATTGATTACTCTTTGTTTTTTAACTATTTACTGTTATCTTGTTTTCACATTAGAAGTGCTGATTAGTAGATCTTTAACCAGTTTTAAAAAGGCAGTCTGTTGTTTTTATTTATTTATTTTTTCAACTTATATTAAGTTTATTAAGATAACATCACTGTAAGTTGGACATCTGTGTATGCTATTAAAATATCAACTCCTTTTAAACTTTTTTCTCTATTTTTTTCTTTTTTGGTATTTTTATTGGGTATTTTATTTACATTTCAGATGTTATCCCCTTACCCCATCCATCCCCCATCCAGGGACCACCTATCCCATCGTGCCTCCTGCTGCTTCTCTGCAGATGTGCCCCTACCTACCCCTCCACTCCCACCTCCCCACCCTCGAATTCCCCCACACACAGCATCCAGCCTTCATGGGACCAAGGATCTCCTCTCCCACCTATGCCCAACAGGGCCATCCTCCCTTAAATATACAACTGGAGACATGGATCCCTCCTTACGTGCTCCCAGGCTAGTGGTTTAGACTCTGGGAGCTCTGTTTGGTAGGTATTGTTGCTCTCTTCACGGGGCTGCAAACCCTTTCAGCTCCTTCAGTCTTCACTCTAATTCCTCCATTGGGAAACACTTGATCAGTTCCATGGTTAGCTCTGAGCATCTGATTCTGAATATGTCAAACTCTGGCAGACCTCTAAGGACACAGCTATATCAGGCTCTTGTCAGCATGCACTTACTGACATCCACATCAGTGTCTACCTTTGGTGACTGCACATGGGATGGATACCCAGGTGGAATGTTCTCCAGACGGCCCCTCCTTCAGTTTCTGTCCCTCACTTTGTCTCCATATTTGCTCCCTTGAGTATTTTGTTACTCCTTCTAAGAAGGAAGTCTGTTGCTTTTATAAGTGAATGTACTTTAACTCCTACAATTGTCTTTTTTTGGATGTGATAATTTTACAATGATATTCAGATTTTTTTTCTTTTTGGTTTTATGAGGCAGAGTTTCTCTGTGTAGCCCTGGCTGTCCTGGAACTCATTCTGTAGACCAGACTGTCCTCGAACTCAGAAATTCACCTGCCTCTGCCTCCCAAGTACTGGGATTAAAGGCATGCATCACCACTGCCTGGTGATATTCAGAATTTTTAAAATGATACAATATTAAATCTCTAAAACACTTTGAAATAAGTGACTAAAAAGTCATTCATTTTTCTTTTCTTCTTTCCATCTCACCTACATGTCACAATCCTGTGCTAGTATATAGCTACATTCATTAGTATATCTTTGTGCTTATTTGAATGTACAGGTGTTGCTGTTTCAAAGCCAGAAGTAATCTTATGTCTTGAACAAAACAAAGAACCATGGATTGTTGGTAGAGAAGATACAGAAGAAAGAAAACTAGGTCATCTGAAATGAAATAATATGTCATGTAGTGATTGTAAACCCAGGAGAAATCTAGACCTGACATATGGCTAGAGAAGCTCTGAAGTAGAAATTATTCCTGAGATTTTCTTTCAGAATATTGAAACAAAGAAACAGTATAATCATGCGTACTATACGATTTTTGACTCATTTTACCTGAATACTGATGTTTTAAAATATTCTATCTTATATCATTTTTAAAAAGTAGCAGACTATTTTATAGTCTATTTACTCTCATATTTTCTGTTACATGTGAATGGTCAGTATTGATCATTTATATTTAAGTGATTTATTGATTTATTCCCTCTTAATAGTTTTATAGAGTATATTTTGCTCATATTTTTCTCTCTTTCAGCTTTTTGTAGACCATCTCCATTTTCCACACTAAATAATATCATGATTTCTCTGACTTTTCTGTCTCTCTGTCTCTGTTGCTCTCTCTGACTCTGTCATGGTCTCTCATTCTCTCTTTCTCTCAGAAGAAAAAAATAGAAATCACAAATGTATTTAAACATAGAGTCTTATATGTTCTGGCAACTTACTCTGAACAGAAGGTATGTTCATTCATTGTATAAAACTTATTTTTCCTCACTAAGAAATTATGTTCTTTGGATACATTCTTACCTTGGGTAACACTTTTTACCTCTTTCCCCTTCTTAAAGCTGGGCTTTTGTCTCCCTTGTTCTTTTGAATGCTGTCACATTCTCAGTGAGTTTAAATGGGCATTGCTCTTGTAGTGTCTAAAAACATACAGTTTATTTATCATCATTCACCAAGTCTGGCCTTTAAATTCCTTCTGTCTCATCTTCTGCATAGATACCTGAACCTTGATAGGAGAGTGTGACAAAGATTATAAGACTAGGCACTCCAAAGTCTCTCAGTTTCTGTGCATTATCTATATACATATTAAGCTTCTCCACTGAAGCCTAAGTGTTTCACAGATCTAATGGAAAATAAGTATTACTTTAGAAGTCATATTATTGCCATTTTTATTTGTAGTAATGATAGTGTTTTTTTTTTAATTTGAGAAGTGTTCTTTCAAACTCTGTGAAGTATTGAGTTAGAAGTTTGATGGGAATTGCATTGAATCTGTAGATTATTTTTGGTTACATGGCCACTGTTACGCCAGGTTAATCCTGCCAATCCATGAGCATAGGAGATCTCTCCATCTTCTGTTTGCGTCTTTAATTTCTTTCTTCAGAGAATTGAAGTTCTTGTCATTACAGATATTTCATTTCCTGGGTTTTGGACACATGAAAATATTTTATATATTTGTGGCTATTGTGAAAGGAGCCCTTTCCCTAATTTCTTTCTCAGTCAATTTATCTTTTAAGTAGAGGAAGGCTACTGATTCTTTTGAGTTAATTCTATATTCAGCCAGTTTGCTGAAGTTGTTTATCAGATGTAGGAATATTCTGGTTGAATTTTTTGGGTGAAATAAGTAAGTATACTATCAAAAAACTCAGGATAGCAAAAAAACATTCTCAACAATAAAATAACTTCTAGGGAAATCACCATCCCTGACCTCAAGTGATAAAAAAAACTCAAAATCAAAAACAAACAAAACAAAAAATTCATGGGATTTGTACCATCTAGAAAATCAATGAAATAGAATTGAGGACCCAGAAATGAACCCATACATCTGTGTTCACTTGATCTTTGACAGAGAAACCAAAACCATCCAGTGGAAAAAAAGACATCATTTTCAACAAATGGTGCTGTTTCAACTGGCAGTTCCCATGTAGAATAATGCAAGTTGATTCATTGTTATTTCCTTCTACAAAGTTCAAGTCCAAGTGCATCACAGACCTCCACATAAAATCAGGTTGAATGAATCTAATAGAAGAGAGTGTGGAGAACCTTGGACACAAGATGAAATATCCTGAAAGAACACTTTACCTCAGGGCAATGTCTCATGCCCTGAGGTAAACAATTGATGGATAGGACTTTATAAAATTGAAGGTCACTGCCAATAAGACAAAATAGCAACTCACTAATTGTGAAGAGATCTTCACCAACCCTACATCTGATAGAGCACTAATATCCAAAATTTACAAGTAACCCAAGAAGTTAGACTCTAGAGGACCAAATAACCATATTAACAAGTGGTGTACTGAGCTAAGAAAAGAATTATCAACTGATAATTCATTTGAGTAATCTCAAATGTCTGAGAAAAACTTAAAGAAATATTCAACATCCTTAGTCATCAGGGAAATGCAAATCCAAATGACCTAAGATTTCACCTCAGACCAATTAGAGTGTCTAAGATCCATAACTCAGGAAACAAGCAGATGCTGGCAAGGATATGAAGCAGAGCACTCCTCCATTGCTGGTGGAACCGCAAGCTGGTAAAACCACTTTGAAAATCAATCTGGCATTTCCTCAGAGAATTGGGAATAGTTCTACTTGAAGACCCAGCTTTACCACTACTAGGCATGTACTCCCCAAAAAATGTTCCACCATATAACAAGGACACCTGCTCCATTATCTTCATAGCAGCCTGATTTCTAATAACCAGAAGCTGGAAGCAACCCAGTCCCTCAACAAAAATGGATACAGAAAATGTGCTACATTTACACAACAAACTACTACTCAGCTAATAATAAAAAAGAGGACTTACTGAAATTCACAGGCAAATGGATCAAACTAGATATTATCATCCTGTGTGATGTAATTCAGAAACAAAAGAACACTAATTGTACTTACTCATTGATATCTGGATATTAGCCCAAAAGTTCACAATACTCATGATGCAAACCACAAAGCATATGGAGTTTTAGCAGAAGGAAGACCAAAGTGTAGATGCTTCAATCCTACACAGAACGTGGAACAAAGTAATCACAGGAAGTAGAAGGATGGAGGATCCTGGGATTGAGAGAGAAAAGGGAGGGAAAAGGGGGGCAATATAGGGTATTGGAAGGATGAGGAGAGAAATTCAGAGTGTCAGGAAATCGAATAGAAACATGTAGCAGTGGGGAATAGGGAGCTGGTGGTAGCCACTCTGAAAGTCTCAGACTCCAGGGAAGGGAGAGGCTCCCAGTATACAAAGGTGCTGACTTTATCCAAAGTACCCATGAAAAGGGGACATAGAACCTGCAGAGACTATCTCCAATTGATAGGCACAGCCTCCAGTTGAGGAATGGGATTACCAACACATCTCAAAATTTTAACTCAGAAATGTTCCTGTCCAAAGGAAAGACAGAGATAAAATTGAACAGAGACTCAAGGAAAAGCCATCCAGTGACTGGCCTACGTATGGATCCATCCAGTCTGCATACAACAAACCCCAACACTATAATGATGCCAAGGAGCACTTGCTGAAAGGAGCCTAGTATGGCTGTTCCCTGAGAGATTCTACAACCACTTGACCAATACAGGTGCAGATACTCACACACTGAACCCCGGGGACCACAATGGATGAGCTAGAGGAAGGACTGAAGAAGCTGAAGGAGATTGCAGCCACATATGAAGAACATTATCAACTAACTGTATCTCCCAGTGCTCCCAGGGACTAAATCACCAACCAAAGACCATAAATGTAGACAACTATGGCTCCAGATACATATGGAACAGAGAATAGCCTTACCAGATATTAATGAGATGGGAGGTCCTGGGTCCTGTGGAGGCTTGATGCTCCAATATAGGGGGTGCTAGTGTGGCGAGGTGAAAGTGGCTTAGTGGGTGGAGGAGCACCCACATAGGGGTAAAGTGTAGGGGGAAGAGGGAAAAAGAAATGAAGGAGTACCCAGCAAGGGAGAGGGGGTATCATATGAAGTAAAAATGAATAAAATGGTTAATAAAAAATATTAGATTTTAATATAGGGCCAAGGACACTTTTAGTCTTAGATTCTTGGCATCATTACTTGTACTACATAAGGATTTTAACTCACAAAGTCATAGTAATACCAGTTTTACAGTTGTAGGTACCTCCTTTTATTAAAATTGTCTTTTATTCTTTTCTTATGTAAAAATAAAACAGCTGCATTCTTGTCCATAACTAGCTACCTAATCATCATAGATATTCTAAATACACCAAACATACCCAAATCTTAAAAGCTAAGTAAGCACATACAAGAAAACTTGCAGTTAGTTTGCTTGCAGCTCCTCATTCATATTCATTGTCACCAGCTCAAACAATTTTTTTGAAATTTTCATAAAATATAAAAGAATGTTGTCTATACAACTTACAAATATTTAATCCAAATGAAATAAATTATTTTAAGCAACAAAAATACTCTGATATGAGAGATGTTGTACTAATGACAAGTTTCTTCAAATTTTTTCTCATTGTAGAGACGCAGAATACTTTTTAAAATGTACTTTTTTTGTTTTAAGAACCCACTATGAGTTTGGTCCAATATCTTGGCAAAGGCATGTCCCATATTAAAATAGATTCAAACATTTATATCCTTTTCCCAAAATTATTTCCAAATATTCAAAAATATTTTTAAAAAGAAACTCAAAATCATATGTAAAACATAATGTGGCATGATTTCTTTCATTCAAGAGATGCAGAGGTAGTTTAGCATAAGTTAATCAATAAAGGCAATGAAGTAAATAAAAAACTACTACAACATAGAAACATTATAACCTCACAGATTTCAGGAAAGGCTGACAAAATACAGCATCATTGCATTAGAGTTCAAGTCAACTCGAAAGAGTAAAGATGATTTCTTATCTACCTTGTGCAATAGCTTTCTGCATTGAGAAAAGCTCAAAGTTATTTCATTAAAATCAGGAATAATAGAAGGATATACATTTTCTGGATAGATATTCAATACACTTCTTCAAATAATATCTAGAACATAAGCCATTGTAATGAATTTATAAGATACACATAGGAAAGGTGTTAAATATTCTTATTTTTTGATAATGATTTTATACATAAAAAGTGACAGGATATTTCTTGTACTTTATAATCAAGGTTGTGGGCCCCTGCCTGGTCCTTTGGGCTGGAGAAGACACAGAGTCGGTCTGCTCATGTCCTGTGGAGA